GGAGGCACCTGTAAGGCTGGACAGTGTGTCTGTCCACCAGGCTACCTGGGGTTCAAGCTGCTCTATTGGTGTGTTTAATATGTTTTGAAGTAAATCCAGGCAAATCATTTACTTCCGCTAATACTAAATATGCCTTGTTAGCAGTATACTAGACATTAATGTGCAAAAGGTACATTGTACATCAGTGTCAAAGAAAGGTTTTTTGAGAAATAAAGAACACATCCAGAACGGAATGACAAGTTCTTAGTGTTGAGCATTAAGTAGTACACCAAAACATCAGTTCTGTCTTTCTTCAGAGGCACCCTGTGAGCCTACTTGTGAGAATGGAGGCACCTGTAAGGCTGGACAGTGTGTCTGTCCACCAGGATACCTGGGGCCCACCTGTGCTATAGGTGTGTGGTTAAAGACATATCACTGAACTACAGCTTCTGTGACTTACAGGGGTTTTGTAATGATAGGTATGATCATGATAGATGGAGTTACATGTAATTGGCCTGTAACTGCATGAGTAACTGAGTAACTTGCAGCTGAAGAAGAATGGCATGGGACTTTGTGTTTCCCTATGGCTTGTACACTAACTCCCCATCTGCCTTCAGAGGCGCCCTGTGAGCCTACCTGTGAGAATGGAGGCACCTGTGTGGCTGGTCAGTGCCTGTGTCCACTGGGGTACCTGGGGCCCAGCTGTGCTGTTGGTAGGTCATGTTATGACCTTGTCACAGGCTACCAGGCAGCTCCATGAACTTATTTTGAAGAGGTTTTTCTTATCTAATATTAAGTGGACCCCTAATTATTATGTACATATACATTTGCAGAGGCACCCTGTGAGCCTACCTGTGAGAATGGAGGCATCTGTAAGGCTGGACAGTGCGTCTGTCCACCAGGGTACCTGGGGAGTAGTTGTGCCATTGGTGGGCAAATGTTCTTGTCTTCTTGCTTCTGGCTTCTAATGCTTTCTTGCTTAGAATGCTGAAATCCAGGCAAACCAAGTCCTGCAGCTAATTGTAAAGATGCCTTGCTTTCAATGTGCTAGATGCTGGTGGCTAGAAGGTACATCGGAATCAAGAAATAAAGGTGTTTTGATAAATCACAAGAAAATAAAACTGACCAAGAAGTTCATAGCGCTGAGCATTAAGTAGTGTACCAAATAAAGATCTACATTTAACTCCCCATCTGCCTTCAGAGGCGCCCTGTGAGCCTACCTGTGAGAATGGAGGCACCTGTGTGGCTGGTCAGTGTCTGTGTCCACTGGGGTACCTGGGGCCCAGCTGTGCTGTTGGTAGGTCATGTCATGATCTTGTCACAAAATACTTAAGGCAGGCAGCTCCTTGGTCTTGTTGTGAAAGAGGTCTGAATTTTCAATGGACAGCTACACATGTATTTATTATGTGCATCTGCAGAGGCACCCTGTGAACCTGCCTGTGAGAATGGAGGCACCTGTAAGGCTGGACAGTGCCTGTGTCCACCAGGCTACCTGGGGAGTAGTTGTGCCATTGGTGGGCAAAATTCCTTTTCTCCTGTTGCTTCCAGCTTATAATGCTTTCTTGCTTTTAATGCTGAAATCCAGGCATATCGTGTCCTGCAGCTAATTGTAAAGATGCATGCCCTGCTTTCAATGTGCTAGATGCTGTCTGAATGTTTCTGAATCAAGAAAAGGTGTTTTGATATACCAAAAACTGAAAACAAAAACTGACCAAGAAGTTCTTTAATAGTGCTGAGCATTAAGTGGTGTACTGAAAAATCTGTCTTACTTCAGAAGCGCCCTGTGAGCCTACCTGTGAGAATGGAGGCACATGTAAGGCTGGTCAGTGTGTCTGTCCACCAGGCTACCTGGGGCCCAGCTGTGCTATAGGTGTGTGGTTAAAGACATATCACTGAACTACAGCTTCTCTGATTGCTATTATACTAATGTTAACTTTGATAGATGGAAGCATTATCAGACCAGCATGTATAGCGATTTTATAAATTCAATATCTTTGCTGATAAGAGCAACTTGACTTTGATAAGTACAGGCTGGATGACATGGTTCTAATAAGGTTACTTTTCTAAGTTGGTAATACTATAACTACATGTACTAACTCCCCATCTTCTGTCAGAGGCACCCTGTGAGCCTGCCTGTGAGAATGGAGGCACCTGTAAGGCTGGACAGTGCCTGTGTCCACCAGGCTATCTAGGGAGTAGTTGTGCCATTGGTGGGCAAAATCCTCTTATTCTTGCTTTAATGCATTATGCTTTCTTGCTGCTCATGCCAAAATTAGACACTCAGGCAGTTAACTTCATTTGCATGTATTTAGCCATGGCCAATACATCGTGCTTGGTTTCCCTTGTTTGCTTGTTACGTTAGTGGGGATCACAGTCCTTTGTAGGGGATGTTGAGGAAAAGGTCCCATATTTAAGAAGCTAGACCCCACCACAGTTACTTAAAGATAAATTTATAAAGTAGATAAAGTAGACTCTGAGTAACACCCATTTGTCCAGTCTCATGCAGCTTACTTTTTGCATAGCATTGTTACACTGATGTGTTTATGAAATACAATTATTGTACAAAATGCATTGAATTGAATTCCTTAAAGTTAATGTTTCTTGAGTGTCACAATAGAACACAAAACATTCTCTTAAATCAGTCATGTTTGGTACATGACATTATTGATGCTTCACAGAGGCACCCTGTGAGCCTACCTGTGAGAATGGAGGCACCTGTAAGGCTGGACAGTGTGTCTGTCCACCAGGCTACCTGGGACCCAGCTGTTCTGATGGTGTGTGATTTAAATCATATCAAATCATGCACTGCAGCTAATAGTAAAGATGCCTTGCTGGCAATACACTAGACGATGGTGTTCAAGATATCTCATCTGACAGTATGAAAAAAGTGACTTTTTTTAGTGCTGAGCATTTGTGTACTACTGAAACATTTTCTGTCTTTATTCAGAGGCGCCCTGTGAGCCTACCTGTGAGAATGGAGGCACCTGTGTGGCTGGTCAGTGCCTGTGTCCACTGGGGTACCTGGGGCCCAGCTGTGCTGTTGGTAGGGAAAGTTCCTCTGCTGCTTCCAGCTTCTAATGCTTTCTTGCTCTGAATGCTGAAATCCAGGCATATCATGTCCTGCAGCAGTAAACAAGATGCCTTAATGTGCTAGATGCTGATGGCTAGAAGTTATATCTGAATCAAGGAGAGTTGTTTTGATGAGTCACAAGAAAACAAAAAATGATCCAGACGTTCTTAGCAATGAGCATTAAGTAGTGTACCAAAAGATATTCTGTCTTACTTCAGAGGCGCCCTGTGAGCCTACCTGTGAGAATGGAGGCACATGTAAGGCTGGACAGTGTGTCTGTCCACCAGGCTATCTGGGGCCCACCTGTGCTATAGGTGTGTGGTTCAGACATGTCACTGATCTATAGATTCTGTGACTAACAGGGATTTTTTAATTATTATAAGTATGATAGAACTTATTGAGTTACTGTTACATGTAATTGGACTAAAACTTATAGAACTGAGTAATTTGCAGCTGAAGAAGAATGACATGAGTTTCCCTATGGCTTGTACACTAACTCCCCATCTGCCTTCAGAGGCACCCTGTGAGCCTACCTGTGAGAATGGAGGCACCTGTGTGGCTGGTCAGTGCCTGTGTCCACTGGGGTACCTGGGGCCCAGCTGTGCTGTTGGTAGGTCATGCTATGACCTTGTCACAAACTATTCAAGACAGGCAGCTCCGCGAACTTGTTAAGAGTTTTTTATCCAATATTGAATGGACTAATCTGCAGAGGCACCCTGTGAACCTAGCTGTGAGAATGGAGGCACCTGTAAGCCTGGACAGTGCATCTGTCCACCAGGCTCCCTGCTGCTTCCTGCTTATAAATACAATGCTTTCTTGCTTCGAATGCTAAAATGTGCATATAATGTGTTCAGCAAAATATAATGCTTGGTTCTCTCTAGTTTGCTTGCTACTGGTAGGGGTTACTGCCCTTCAGGTCAAGTTAAGTCAAAGGAAGCTGGAGACAGACCTGGTTTCCACCTTCTTGCAAAGGTTACAGTCCTTGTGTAGGGATGTTAAATCATTCATTAAGCCTAAGACCCCACAGTCATTTGTTCATTGGTACATGTATGACAATTTTGTTTCACAGAGGCACCCTGTGAGCCTACCTGTGAGAATGGAGGTACCTGTAAGGCTGGACAGTGTGTCTGTCCACCAGGCTACCTGGGGCGTAGTTGTGCCATTGGTGGGCAAAGTTCTTCTTTTCTTGCTTCCAGCTTATAAAATAATGCTTTCTTGCTTTGAATGCTGAAATCCAGGCAAATGCTGCAGCTACGTGTAATGTTAAATATTCGTCATGCTTTTAAGGTGCTAGATGCTGATGGGTGGGTAGAAGGCACAGCAGTATAAAAATGAGTGTTTGGAGAAATTACCAACAAAGCAAAAACTGATGAAGTTCTTAGTACTATATATCATTGTACAAACATTTTCTGTCTTCTTTCAGAGGCGCCATGTGAGCCAACTTGTGAGAATGGAGGCACCTGTAAGGCTGGGCAATGCGTCTGTCCACCTGGCTATCTGGGGCCCAGCTGTGCTATAGGTCTGTTGTTCAGACATAATACTGGTAGCTTCTGTGACTAACCCATGATTGGAAGGGGTGTTTGGCCCATAACTAAAATAACTGTCAGTTAGTATATAGCTGATATAGGATACCATGGTCTTTTCAGTCTACTTTCCCTATATCTTGACTGAAAACTAACTGCCCGTCTGTCTTCAGAGGCGCCCTGTGAGCCTACCTGTGAGAATGGAGGCACCTGTGTGGCTGGTCAGTGCCTGTGTCCACTGGGGTACCTGGGGCCCAGCTGTGCTGTTGGTAGGTCATGTCATGACCTTGTCACAAAGTATTTAAGGCATTTCTGTGAAATTGTTCAAAGTGTATGAGGTTTTCCTCCATTTTTGACTGGACTGCTATGTACTATGTTATTCTTCAGAGGCGCCCTGTGAGCCTGCCTGTGAGAATGGAGGCACCTGTAAGGCTGGACAGTGCGTCTGTCCACCAGGCTACCTGGGGCGTAGTTGTGCCATTGGTGGGCAAAAGTTTTGTTTCCTATTAATTATGCATTATGCTTTCTTGCTTCTAAGTCATGCGTCCTGCTGGGTTTCCCTTGACTTGCTTGCTGCTGGACGGGTTTAAGTCTTTCAGAGAAAATGTTTCTTGTCTTAAAGTCCTGTGTCAGGTTCAAGTGTAACCTAATATTAATTATTGCTTCACAGAGATGGCCTGTGAGCCTACCTGTGAGAATGGAGGCACCTGTAAGGCTGGACAGTGTGTCTGTCCACCAGGCTATCTGGGGCCCAGCTGTGCTATAGGTGTGTGGTTCAGGCCTTTCACTGATTAATGGCTCCTGTCACTAACAGTGATTGTTCATGATGAGGTTGATGAAATATGTCATCTGGCTGATAACTAAGATAACTGTAACTTGTGTCAGTCTCACTCTGAAGAAGGTTGTCATAGCCCTAGGGCTACTAGCTTGTAAGTTTTGTACAGTCACTAATTCCTCATCTGCCTACAGAGGCGCCCTGTGAGCCTACTTGTGAGAATGGAGGCACCTGTAAGGCTGGACAGTGTGTCTGTCCACCAGGATACCTGGGACCCAGCTGCTCTCTAGGTGTGTTATTGTATGTTCACTCTTGGCATAGTCTATAATAACATCATCTCGTAGAATCCAATGCCTGGCTTAAGATATTGGCCAAGGCAATGCTACATTTGTGCACTGCACTGTTATCCATTGTAGAAGGTATTATGCTTTACCTGAACAGGAGAGGATGGCTGCTAAGTTACCATATACATATACTACCATTTACATTTTGTACTTATCCTTATCCTTTAGCACACTGAAGTTTAAGCCATTTAGCTACCAATTCTTTATTGGTTATGGTGTATAATTAGGAAGTGAGATGAAGGTTTATGGGCAAAAACAACATAATTATGTATGGTTTATTAAATTCATACCAACAAGTTATAAATTACAAACTGTTTTTACATGTACTATCATCTGATATTAAGAGGCACCCTGTGAGCCTGCCTGTGAGAATGGTGGCCTCTGTGTGGCAGGGATTTGCCTCTGTCCACCAGGGTACTTGGGACCTAGTTGTGCTATAGGTGGGTGTGGGTAATTCATTTGTGCAGTAACTGTCCATACATGTGTACTTACCAGTGTCTTAGTTGGCTTTCATGAGATGGTTATAGTTTATGATCAAATGGCCAACAAATGGATGATAAAGAGATGTCCACACTGAGATGTAATTACAAACATTTTTTCTTGACTGTATACTAAATCCCCATCTGCCTTCAGAGGCGCCCTGTGAGCCTACCTGTGAGAATGGAGGCACCTGTGTGGCTGGTCAGTGCCTGTGTCCACTGGGGTACCTGGGGCCCAGCTGTGCTGTTGGTAGGTCATGTCATGACCTTGTCACAAACTATTCAAGGCAGGCAGTTCTGTGAACTTGTTGTGAAGAGTTCTTTTATCCAATATTGAATGGACTCCTCATTATGTGCATCTACAGAGGCACCCTGTGAGCCTGCCTGTGAGAATGGAGGCACCTGTAAGGCTGGACAGTGTGTCTGTCCACCAGGGTACCTGGGGAGTAGTTGTGCCATTGGTGGGCAAATGTTCTTGTCTTCTTGCTTCCAGCTTCTAATGCTTTCTTGCTTTGAATGCTGAAATCCAGGAAAACCATATCCTGCAGCTATAACTGTAAAGATGCCCTGCTTTCAATGTGCTAGATGCTGGTGGCTAGAAGGTACATCGGAATCAAGAAATGAAGATGTTTTGATAAAACACAAGAAAACAATACTGACCAAGAAGTTCATAGCGCTGTTTGAACGTTAAGTTGTGTACCAAATAAAGATCATGTAACATGTAACTCCTCATCTTCCTTCAGAGGCGCCCTGTGAGCCTACCTGTGAGAATGGAGGCACCTGTAAGGCTGGGCATTGTCAGACCTGCATGTATAGCTATTAGCATTGCTGATAAGAGTAACTTGACTCTGAAAAGTAAAGGATGACATGTTTCTAATAAGGTTATTTTCTCAGCTGGTAAACTAACTCCCAATCCTCTTTCAGAGGCACCCTGTGAGCCTACCTGTGAGAATGGAGGCACCTGTAAGGCTGGACAGTGTATTTGTCCACCAGGCTACCTGGGGCCCACCTGTGATATAGGTGTGTGGTTCTCACATTGTCTTGTAATAAGATTGAAGGAACAAAGTTCTTTGGTGTATTACTGATTATGTTCAACTTGCCAATTTTTAATGGACTGCCAATGGTTATGTGCATCTGCAGAGGCACCCTGTGAGCCTACCTGTGAGAATGGAGGCACCTGTAAGGCTGGACAGTGTGTCTGTCCACCAGGCTACCTGGGGCCCAGCTGCTCAGAGGGTAGGTGTAGTTGTCATTAAACTTGCCATTTGAATGAGTAATAGTCGGATACTATCCAGACCCTCTTGTCAGTAGCTGTTTAGCCTTAGCGTAGGTACCATCCTTTGTACCAACTATGGAGAATGGCACCTAGGTACCAGCTATGGAGGATGGCACCTAGGCTAGAGTAGTCTGTCCTACTGTCTGTCTGTCTTCAATGTTTGTGCATGTGTTCTGCTCTTCCAGAGGCCCCCTGTGAGCCACCGTGTGAGAATGGTGCCACCTGTAAGGCAGCAGTGTGTTTCTGTCCTCCAGGCTTCCTCGGACCAAGCTGTGAATTTGGTAAGTTGCAGTTTACTGCATTGTCCAATATATTGTAGTCTGTCAGATGATTTTGATGTCGTAGAATTCTCATGCTGCCTGTGCACGTGTTATAACCAACCACTGACAAGCTAGGATCTAAGACAGCCTTTTCCATAACAAGACAGCTGAATTGTGTACATCATAATATTCCTATATAAAACTGTCCCTTTGGGATCATAAGGATGAATTTAACTGGACCCTTTAATGTGATACAAAATAATGATACTTATTTTAGTACAAAGAAATATTTTTCATTGAGAGAAAGAGTTTGATTTTTTATTGCTGCCAAGCTTTATATCTTGTGATATGCAGCTATTCTGATTTGAAAAAAAAAGTTTGTTTGCATCATGATATAAAAAAAGCACCACCTAAAGTCTCATTGTTTTCCAGATATTGATGAATGTGGCGGCATTGGGCTTGAATCAGTCAGCTTGTGTGATCACAACTGTGTCAACACAGTGGGCAGCTACTACTGTACATGTGAGGCTGGCTACCAACTCAGCAATGACAGCAGCAGTTGTGTGGGTAAGACTGTCAGCTGAGACATTCAGTAACTCTATATTGAAATGACCATTCTATGTTGTACTACCAGGTCCAGAGGACCACATTGCAATCAGCCATCTTAGTTACCATCTTGTTTGTCATTGTTGATACCTAGCTATTAAAGGCTCCACACTTCTATAAAATGAATGGTGATGGGCATGTGTTCTGCTACATTTGAACGTATAATGGTCATGTGATCTACTGCTTATATAACTCAATATGTTACCTTCTTGTTTCAGTGACCTTTTCTCCAATGTTGGAAGTCCAACAAAGAGTTAGTAATTTTGTAATGAAGTTCTCTTTCTGTGCAGACATAGATGAGTGTGCAGTCGGAACTGATGAGTGTCACCCCACGGCAAACTGTACCAACACCATCGGGTCCTTCACCTGTTCCTGTAATATTGGACACGTGGGCGATGGCAGGGTGTGCCTGGGTAAGGTCATTACGTCAAGTATTGTTTCAGGTGGATTTGATGTGAGTTTGTGTGTCTGTTTATCCTGACAGAGTAGGTTGACAGCACAGAGATGGGTGGGTAGAGATAGGATGCTAGTAGGATGATGGGATGTCAAAGGGTCAGTTGGGGATTTTCACTTTTCATCCTTTCCGAGAGGATATCCCTAACGAAAGACTAGCCTAATTCGACTGAAGAAATAGGTGCCTTTTCCGAGGGCACAACATTGGGGCCTACCCAGGGATTTGAACCAAAAACCTTCAAATTTTGAGTCTACAACCTTAACCACAAGACCACCTCGCCACTTTCCATCTCCTCTGCAGACATAGATGAGTGTGACTCAGGAACAGCTGACTGTGATCCTGCTGCCACCTGCACCAACACAGCTGGCTCGTACAGCTGCGACTGTAACGATGGCTATGAAGGAGATGGCAAGACGTGTGTGGGTAAGACACTCAATATTTCACAGCTGTTGCAATTTTAAAATGTACTGAGACCTACATGTATTCCTCCCCAGCATGTGTGGCTATAAATATAATAGGATCCACTAACCTACTGTTTTCGTGACAGCTACCTGCTATCCCCCGTGTGGCCTGGGATCCAGGTGTGTGAATGGGACGTGTCTTTGCCCTCCTGGCTTTGTTGGGGATGCTTGCAATGCAGGTAAGAAACATATCTATCATAACTATCATACACATCAACACTGATCATCATCATCATTACGGGCATCTAGCCTGTACAAAGTTGAATGTCAATTGTATAAGGGACCAAATGTACAAACTGTTGTTTAGCTAAGGGGTGTGACACTCTAATCCAAATATTGCATGCGTCAGACATTCATTGCCAAACTGTGTAAGATGTAGTGGTGTATGAACTGTCCAGTTGAACTGTGAATCCTGATGTTCCTGTTGTGTTGTTGGCAGATGTGGATGAGTGTGTCATGACACCAGGGGTCTGTGAGTTTGAGTGTATGAACACCATAGGCAGCTACAGGTGCGTGTGTCCAGCCGGATTCAGTCTCAACCCAGAAGACCAGTCCACCTGTCTAGGTAAGGAAACAAAAATAACTTTAAGGTTTTCATGTTCATGCTACTCCACTTTTTCTCAACTTAGTTGTCTTTGATCTGCTGTTGTTGATATTTGTTGTTACCCCCCAGACATTGATGAGTGTGAGGAGCCAGTGTGTGCCCAGCAATGTATGAACTCCTACGGCTCCTACAAGTGTAACTGTGACCTTGGCTTTGTCCTGGATGTGGATGGTTTCAATTGCACAGAACTAAAGTGTAAGTTGTGTCATTTCATCATATAGGCCACATGCATCAAGATGTTGTGTTCTTCTCTATACAAATTACCATCAATTGTTTGAATGTATAATAGTGAGTGATCACTAAATGCACATACATGGTGCAATCATGGTATGATCTGCATGTATGAGTCCGGCAAAATTCATCTGTCTTGTTACAGACAAGGTTGTGTTCGATCCTTGTCAGTACTTGGTTCTGACACAGCATTGTTTGAAAATTCTATGGCAAAACATCACAGCAACCTCACTGGTCAGTGCGGCCACATTGTACAGATAACTGTATATCATCTGAAGTCTGACACATTGACAAAACCAAGTTGTTTGCAACATCATCCATTCACAGGTTATATAACTGTCTTTATAAGACAGTCACACAACATAATGGAGAGAGTGAAGAACTGAATACTATGAGATGTAAACTGTGGTTGTATTCTACTTTGTCTGACATCTGTCTGCCCCTCTCAGTGTTCCCCTGCACGTTTGATGGAGTCCTGTATGAGTCAGGGTCGACCTGGCAAGTGGATCAGTGCACTGAATGTTCCTGTAATGTAAGTCTCACGGTCTCTTGGTTGTAAAGGAAATACATGTAACTTGTAACCTTAAATGTTGTGTCAAATGTGCAAGATAACTAAAAGTTATAAGAGCCGGGGTAGAATATATCCTTGAATACATATGATTCTGATTCGTCCATGACTGGCCCATGTTGGAATATTTTGACAGCTTGTTGTTTTTTACCTCCATGTAAACGTATTGTTTAGACTGATTTATTGTTTGACCATTTTCTAACTGTTTCAGGATGGTATCATCTTGTGCAGTGAGTGTCCCACACTTCCCTGTGCGACCACAGAACAGCCTGAGGGAGACTGTTGTCCTCGGTGTAAAGGTAATGACTATGCTTTTCTTTGCTCCTCCCTAAAAGTATCTGAGGCTTTTTTGTCATCGTAAATGGAACTATTTGTCAATGATGCAATCTAACTTTCAACATCTAAAAATGCGTGCTGTAAGACAATAGAGAGAATTTCAAGATGAAATTGATAATCATCAATTTGACCTCCCTCTGTTTGTGGCAGCTTGTATTCAGGATGGGTTGGAGTACCAACACCTTGACTCCTGGTCTCCCATGTTTGACGCCTGTCAGATCTGCACATGTCTGGTAAGGGCCGGTCACATACATCGTATGACAGTTGTCGTATGATTGAAAACCGATGCATTCTTTGAATTGTCCTGCAAAATTCCGTATGTTGATGGACCCGTCAATGTAAAGCAAAGTCGTGAAAATTCTATGACAATTAACATTCTACTAAGTTAGCATAATTCCACCATGTTTACAGCAGTGTCCAGTGATGCCAATCTAGCACACTCTTGATATTTTCCCTGTTACATGTCCATGTTAATAACAAGGACCTTATGCTTCAGCTAAGGTCTTGTACTAGTCTACATGTGAGAGAATCATGATGACATTGGTTCTATGGTTGATGTTTGCATTTTATCTGCCTAGTAGGAGGGTGAGACCCAGTGTGAGCCTGTTGACTGTGACCTACCGTGCACCCACCCTGTAGTGCCCCCTGGTGAGTGCTGTGGGGACTGCACAGGTAAGGCTGTTACACAAACCTAAACATCTTTCCACAACAATTGTACAGTGTACAATGTATGGTGTGGCATCTATTTGATAGTTGGTACTACATGTATGAGTGAGTATAATCTAAAAGTTGGGAAAGTCATATTCTTGTTAGATGCAGTCAGAGGAGCAAATTAAAACTGGAATTAGAATAGGGTGAATTCCAGGCTACTCACAACCCAGCACTGATCTGGGTTGGAAAGTGGTCTACAGCAAAATCATGGCAAAGACCTGAATGTGTGAAGGAGTTGTTAAAAATTGTCTGTTGTTGTTTTTTTCAGATTGTTCTTATGAAGGTTCCATCATACCCAGTGGGACAGTTTTCTTCCAGACTCCCCAGAACTGCTCCCAGTGTCTCTGTATGGTAAGCACTCTGCTTTGCTGATGTTGCTTTTAGTCACTAGATTAAACTTTTGGAGCAATATTCACACTCAAGCTACGAAATGTGTCCTTAATTGAATGTGTTGTAAACATGACTTATACCTCCATGGTTGATTTATGGGTTTATTTCCGATTTTTTTCCGATTTCAGACCCAACAGCATATATTAGTACTTACAAATGTTACTCCATGGGATCCCAAATACTGCTTGGTACAGTACATATTGTACCGATAAACAACATTCCATCTGCTGTGTCATGTACCAACAGTGATATTGTGTTCCACAGGATGGGAATGTGCAGTGTATAGAAGAGGAATGTCCCCCTGTGGCATGTTCCTATCCCATTCAAGGGCCTTGCTGTCCATACTGTCCTGGTAAGCTAAACATATACCCTGATTTACACTTAGTCTAGCAAAACAAGAAATCAGAGATTTCAAATGTCCAGGAAGTATTTTGGCTTTCAAGTTCACAGACCTCTGTGGAGTGGTTTTTGTTTTTGTGTATTTCACCACTTCCTGAATTCCTCCACATACTGTTCAGCACTAACTCCCACCTGGCACATGCTGGGTCACCTTCAGGCATGGCCTCCCAATCAATCAACTGTCAAAATCACCTCCCGCCCCCCATGCAACCGAAGCTATTGGTTCCAAACCTGGAAGTCAAAAGGGCTAAATGTTATAGTATTTTCTTCCCCAGCAAACTGCATCATAGAGGATGATGAAGGCAGTGGGCTGTATGAACATGGAGAGGTCTTCAGTCCGAGTGACGACCCATGTCTGGAGTGTACCTGCATGGTAAGTCGAACTTCTTATGGTGAACTGTTTGTAGTTCTGCTGATATATACTCTGTGTAAAAGTTCCACATGGGGAGAGTGTACAAAATGAATTTGATGTTGTTTTAATATGTGTAATACAATCTAAGTCCGTTCAGTAACCACCTGGATGGCACTTCAGCACCGGTATGCAATAAGATCACCCCTGACACTGTGTCCCTGTCAACCTTACAGGACGGTGAAGTGGATTGTGAGAGTATAGAATGCCTCGTGCCCAACTGTCCCATTGAGTTCCAGTTCCAGCCGCCAAACACCTGCTGCACTATCTGTAGTGAGGAAGCCATAGGTAATAATGTGTTCAATCATGCATTTGTAAAATAAATACCCTACAGTCCTTAATTGGATTTATGTGACCCTTGATTTATTGGAACATGATGCATAAATCAAAAGTATGTATTTCTTAGAACCAATAAATCAAATTGGTGTGATGTTAACCCATGATGTTTGCTTGATCAGGCTGCCTGACAGCTGACAACACTGTCATCCCCATCGGCCGCACCTTCACCCTGCAGGGGGAGCCCTGCAAGTTCTGCTCTTGTCAGGTGAGCAATGTCAAGGATAAAGTTACATTGGCCTAGTCTCCTAACCAGGAGGCCAGTGTTCAATCCCAAGCCAAGTCATACCAAATACTTTTTTTAGAAATCACATATACTGCCTTCTCTGCTTAGCACACTGCACAAGGGATAAAGTAGGGAAGACGAACACTCTCCACTACCAGTAGACTAGCCCCCTAGCACATGTACATGTAATTGCACCCATGCCTGACCAAGGGCTAGAAAAATGAAGATGGGTGCTTCCCTATACACCTTATGTAGGAAGAACTTTATCTTAGATATGATAGAGTTGATTATGCACCAGGTGAGGTGTAAGATGAAGAAAGGATTTAACAGATTCCTTCTTCCAGGCAGGTGGGAATGTAGCGTGTGAGACCATCGAGTGTGAGGTGAGCTGTACCCACCCTGTCATCCACCCGGGGGTGTGCTGTCCAGACTGCTCAGGAGGTAAGACAGCTTATGCAAACTACATACTAGTATTCTTATTCTCATTTCAATGACCTTTCTGTCATCTTCTTTATGATGTCTGCAAGGAAGTTAATTGTTTTCCTTCTTATTTTTTCCAGCATGCTCCTACAATAACGTGACCTACCCAGATGGGGCAGCTTTCCCCTCCGCTGATGCTGACTGTGAGAACTGTACATGTCTGGTATGTCTATAATGTATAATATTATAATTATAAACTAATTGAGGAAATACCAGCTATTCCTGGAGTAGATTAACCCATTTAAGGTACCAATTTAAGGTAAGTGAATATGGGTCACTGTCTCTTGATCTTACTTTTTGCCACTGCAAGGGCAGATAGAAAACATAAATCAAATGTAGTGACAGCAATATAACTGTTCTACAGTGACTGACAGGAATTTTGATGGTATCCTATGTTTTCCTACACAGGAAGGAAATGTTCAGTGTGAGCCTGTCAGCTGTCCCATCCTGTGTTCTCACCCCTACCAGCCCCCAGGAGCATGCTGTCCTATCTGTGAAGGTAACTTTGTTACCTCCAGGTATGAGGTATTGCTTTCAATGTGCTTGTGTGTGAGTGCTTACATTTGTAGTTTGCCCCTAGATATTTGAATACAGTAGAGTGACAGGAAGTGAGGGGGAAATGATGTAACCACAGACTGACACAAAGGTGAAATTGGAGGTCAAAATGGTCTCCCTGTTAGGTGTAGGGGGTAGTTACTCTTGATTCAAATTTTGGGGTTCTGGTCCTCCATAAATGTTCACAACAGTGAGTCAGGTAGGTGGAGAGAAACCTATAAGTACAAAGTAAATACATGACTATATGTATGGAGTTCATGATTGTGATACCAGTGTATGCATTGAGCAAAGTAACTTTGCATAAAACACCTTCCTTCCAGATTGTTACTTTGAGGGGAAGTTCCATGAGAACAGGGGTATATTTGTGCCGGAGACCAACTCTTGCCAGACGTGTATATGTGCTGTAAGTTGCAACATGTCTGTCATTGCTTTCATACATTAAAAAAAAATTGCTACCAGTACAGTATACAAGTCTCATGCCCGTAGCCAGGGAGGGGGGTTCGGAAGAACCCCCCCACAAGGCTCAAAGGTCCAGTTTTTATGTAAAGGTCCACTTTTTGGTCCACTTTTATGTAATGGTCCAAGATTTTTCTTGAAAAGATGGACTGGAATCGTAGAAAAACTGCTCCCTTTGTCATTGAATAAAGATTTATCTCTGATTTTTTCTTGGAAATCCTCTCAAAAATGCACGAAATGCCATTTTAGAAGGTTCATTTTTCAAAATTTCCCGGGGGAGCATGCCCGCGGCCTATGGCGCTCGAGGTCGCCTCAAGCACTGGGAAGAACCCCCCCATTCAAAATCCTGGCTACGGGCACGAGTTCAAAACTGTTTCCACATGCATGTACATGACATGTATTGTGCTCCTATGTGTTGTTGTTCAATTTGAATATGTACCATTCCATATATCTGCAGTGTTCCTCCTGATTTATTTCCCACAGCTTGGTTATGTTGACTGCACATCAAACTGCCCGCCTCTCAACTGTAGTAACACAGTTGTCCTACCTGGGGAGTGTTGTCCAGTCTGTACAGGTGTGTGTGTGTTTGGGGATTAGAATGTTTATTTACTGGTAAATGTTACTGATTTTTGGAACTCAACAACTACAGAGTCAACATACAGTTACTGTAATGGTACATTAATATGAATATCAAATTTTACCTGTTTCTAATGAAGTGGAGCTAATAATCAGGAAAAACACAAAATCCAGTGAATCTATTGTAAATTTAGAATTACATGAATACCAGAAGATACACTGTCTCTATAGCAGTCTGATCAGGATAAATACCATATGAAACTAATGTCTGATTGTACCTGGTGAATTCACCTGAGAATTGACATTACCTGGATGTGACTAACCTGGACCTGTTTTTACTATCATATGTCTTACCAGAAAGAACCTGTGTGAGAGAAGATGGTGTCCAGTTTGCTGAAGGACAGACATGGATGCCCCTGGAGGACCCATGTAGTCAGTGTGCCTGTGTGGTCAGTCTAAATCTCATCCTGATACACACTAGAAATTATGAAACTTTTTGTGGTGGTTTTATTTTGTGGTTTTTGCAGTGACCTTTCCTGTTCTGATTCATCCCACTGCAAATGTGCCTCCCTTGTGTGACTTCTGTACTACAAAATTATTTTGACTGTGAATAAGAATAAAAAAAACAAGAGTTCCATACCTTCGCCAAATGGTGTTAACTCTTGCGGGTGACAAATTATACAATTTTAATCATTTATTTTGTAAATAAGAGCCTCATTTGCATGGATTATATCAGTTGATCATATTCTCCATCCAATGACAGCCTTATCATAACAAAAAGGCTATTATAGCACTTCCTCATAAATTATGCAAATGAGGTCATGATTTGAATAAATTATGTTTATTGATCTTCACTTCACTTCACTTAACTTCCAAATGTGGCAAGTATGAAATTGGGTGCAGCAGTGACAACTATGGAATTATAAGAATTTGCCATTAATCATGCAAATTAGGTTCTCATTTACATAATCTATATCCTCAGATGTTTTTCTCGTTCTCAAGTGTTTAATAGTTCTATTATCGAACAAAGGAGATTTATAGAATTTCCTCATTAATTATGCAAATTAGCTCCTGATTTGCATAATTGCCATCTGATTATGTCAAGCATCACTTCAACTACATACATGCCAAAAATCACGACAATACGTCAACCGGATCTTGAGTTATCGTCCTTCAAATTTTTTTCAACAAATGCTCCTGCAGTTCCAGAACAAGGCGCTAGGGGACCCAATCTCATGTCACTTCTTCCCTACCCCGAAAGCTATCTACCAACCAAAATTCGTGACCCTAGCATGTCCAGAACATGAGATATCAAAACCGGAAGTTCAGCTGCAGTACCTAGGAAAGCCGCCAGGGGGCCCAAAATCTAATCATTTCTAGGTCTCATGAAGACCTACCCTCCTACCAAGTTTCATTCCAATCCATCCACTGCTTCTCGAGTTATCTTGCTAAATTACACACAAACACACACACACACACACACACAGACAAACGCTACTGAAAACATAACCTTCTTGGCGAAGGTAATAATGAATAATAAATCTTGTTCTACAGAGATCTGGTGTTGTGTGCCGTGCGGTGACATGTGAAATAGAGTGCACCTTTGGGCTGCAAACAGAGGACACATGTTGTCCTGACTGTAGTGGTGAGCACCATTATTATCATATCCTAGTAAAACAGCACCAACCCTGGCATAGACAGAGGTGTGCAGGTTGAATACAACAGGTTGACTTTTCCACAGCATAGTGTCTACAGGGGCAGAAAGTTTTTGGCGACGCCTCAGGGGGGAGCCTAATGGTACAGTATTGTGTGCAGTTTGCAAGAATTCTAGGAATTGCACAGGCATTTTTTTCCACAGGAATGGAATGTCTACAGGCATGTCTGGGATTTTGCTGACACACATCTATGCCCACATTCCTACGTAGTGAAATTCCAGGAAACCCTTGGGACATGGTGGAAATTGTACAGATTCTCAACTGAGCAGACACATGCTGATTCACATCCCTGTCCACTTCCATGCAGCATTATCTAGCTCATATGGCTCCCATGATGTTCATGAAGTAAGCAGTAGGCTGTTGAGTTTTCTGAATTAGTGTAGAACGTTTTCCCCTTTATATCATCGACAGTCTTCAACTCTGCTGCATTTGAACAGGTACTTGTATATCTTTCTCTCCTTTTATAATAATTGTGAGGTTTATTGCAAATTCATGCCCGGAGGCTAAAACTATGTCTGAAGGGTTTGACTTCTCTCTTGTAAACTGAAGAAGACATATGTATATCTGTAAGTCTCCTTCTCAGCATTTCCCCAACATGTTCAGGCCGTCACAATGTTGATTCGGAATGCCACAAAAAGGAGTATCCATTGTGATCTAATACCGGTATGTCTTTAACACGTTGCAATAAAGTTCGTCTACGGGTATTTGTTGGAAGGCTTTGCTGTAAGAGGAGAGCATCCATTTGAAGGGAGTGTGAGGTTGTGCCCATTTGGACCAAGCATAACCAGAATTTAACTATCTATATACAAATATGTGTATCTAAAGGAAATCTACCTAATTCTGCTCTACAGGCGACATTGCTACTATTTCTAAATAGATATAATAAGAATTCTAGGAATTGTACAGGCATTTTTGTCCACAGGCATGCGGAATGTCCACAGGCATGCAGAATGTCCACAGGCATTTCTCTGACCCACATCTATGCCTACATTTCTGGAACCCTGAAGACCTGCCTGCCCCAGATGGTCCTACTTTCTGTGACCTCGGGGCTCGTTCACTATGCACTCAAGGGAGGAGTGTACTGTATCTGTCTAGACTTAAACCAAAGTCCAAGTACCAAGTCTTCCTCAAAATCATGAAATGATGGCAGTGCCATGCAAACAATAATCCTAACAGAAACCACCGTCGCCATGGCAATGTATGTTTTCATTGCCAGTCTTGTTACACTTTTTCCTGTTTCTCTGATTGTTATCTACATGTACAGTACATACACTTAAGTGCTTCTTATATTCCTGTTTCTCAGTTTGCGACTATGAAGGAGTTGTGTATCAGGATGGACAAGTTTTCCAGCCCAACGGAGATGTCTGCACGACTTGTACCTGTAAGGTGAGTTATGGGGGGATTTTCTGACTATCCTTATAATCCCGTCTTATATAGTGTTATTTAATCCCTTGCAAAGTTGCTTAGTTCAATGGTTTGGATGAAAAATTCTCATACATTTTTGGTTTTATTTACAGCTTGTGTTGTCTTGTGTTTGTAGTTGACTCAAAATCTAAAGATTCTGGGTTTGAATCTCTAATAGGAGGTCTTGATGTTGTGCCCTTGGGAAAGGCAAGTAGGGATCCATCTCAGTATGAGCAGATCAAACCTTATAGTCTGGTTTTACTGTACAAAACTGGTGTGGTACGTCTAAAAGCAGTTTACATGTTACTGTATGTGAAGCTAACAAATAGTGAAAAGAAACCAGATTATGAATACCTCCTGCATGCCCTACTGTTTTACTGAGGATGGAGTCTTCTAACAGAATTAACCTACAGATTCTGCTGTTGTGTGCAGGAGGGTGAAGTAGACTGTGTAACACAGACCTGTCCTGATCTCACCTGTACTGTCATAGAGCCTCAGCTGGGCAAGTGCTGCCCCAAGTGCCAAGGTAAGAACTTCAAGGATGTTTGCTGCAATTTTAATATTGGTTCTCATATTTACCTGAACTACATTTTTTACCAAAAAGAATACATCAAGAAGTTTAAAAAAGAAGTATTATGCCAGTTTGGTAACTAATACTGTTCCTTGTGACAGAGTGTGTGGATGATGATGGGATGAGATACACACATGGGCAGCTGTGGTCTCCAGCCAATGACAGCTGCACATCCTGTCTCTGTGCTGTAAGTACAAACACAACACTTGACAGTGCAGTCAGTTCCAGTCAAATTCCACAGAAACGTGTCTACATTACACACCAGCCATGTGAAGTAGTTTCAGCACCATGGAGAGGGTCAATTTTGAGTTGCATGCTGCTCAGTTGATGTTGTGACTTTTTGTATATCAGTAATTGCTGAAGCATTGAATGTTGTATATACTATTATAGATCACTTTACAATGTAAAGGTATTGCCTCTTAACATGATAGCAGTCAAGACATCTGGTCCCAGATCAATGTAAAATCTCAGGGTAAGTCTTACGGAAACTTCAAAACCACATAAAAGCTCAACAAACACTGTCTGACCCCAGACCTTGATGTTCTTTCTGTAGAACACTGAGATCAGCTGTACCACTATCACCTGCCCAGCTGTGTGTGACAAACCCACCCTGGTACCTGGCTACTGCTGTCCTGTGTGTGATGGTAAGTTTTCTTTCAAGTAGATGTAGAAAGCATATATTACATGGTCCAGTCTCTTTTTGACAGAGCGACCAAGAGAGCATATTATAAACTTAAGGCTGGCATCCAGGCTGAGTCTTAACTTGTTCCACAGGCTGTGAATATGACGGTACAAAGTACCAGGAGGGGGATGTGTTCAAACCAGACGACGACCAGTGTGTGGAGTGTCAGTGTCAGGATGACCAGCTGGTCTGTAGCACCATCGTCTGTCCCATCCCTGCCTGCAGTGCTGAGGAGACCATACTGGAGGAGGGTGCCTGCTGTCCTATGTGCAAAGGTGAGAACACTTTGCAGGGCTCGTAATACCACTTGCATGTGCAGGTTTGTACAGGTAAAATTGCAGCTGTGCAGGTATTTTTTTATGTGTACCTGCACCTAACCTGCACTGCTCTACAGTATGTACCTATAGCTGGATAATTTTCTAGGATACAGATTCACTTGATGCATGGCTTTTTTACCTTCGCCAAGAAGGTTATGTTTTCAGTAGCGTTTGTCTGTGTGTGGGTGGGTATGTGTGTGTGTGTGTGTGTGTGTGTGTGGTTTAGCAAGATAACTCAAGAAGCAGTGGATGGATTGGAATGAAACTTGGTAGGTGGGTGGGTCTTCGTGAGACCTAGAAATGATTAGATTCTGGGCCCCCTGGCGGCTTTCCTTGGTACTGCAGCTGATTTTGATATCTCGTGTTCTGGACATGCTAGGGTCACGAATTTGGTTGGTAGATAGCTCTTGGGGTAGGGAAGAAGTGACATGAGTTTGGGTCCCCTAGCGCCTTGTTCTGAAACTGCAGGAGCATTTGGTGAAAAAATTTTGAAGGACGATAACTCATGAACCAGTTGACGTATTGTCATGATTTTTGGTATGTAGGTAGTTGAAGTGATGCTTGACATACTCAGATGGCAATTATGCAAATCAGGACCTAATTTGCATAATTAATGAGGAAATTCTATAAATCTGCTTTGTTCAATAATAGAACTATGAAACACTTGTGACATCTACTTGAGAACGAGAAAAACATCTGAGGATATAGATTATGTAAATGAGGACCTAATTTGCATAATTAATTGAAAATGTTTATAATTCCATAGTTGCAACTGCTGCACCCCAAATTTCATACTTGCCACATTTGGAAGTTAAGTAAAGGTGAACATCAAATAAAGATAATTTATTCAAATCATGGCCTCATTTGCATAATTTATGAGGAAGTGCTATAATAGCCTTTTTATTATGATAAGGCTGTCATTGGATGGAGAATATGGTCAACTGATATAATCCATGCAAATGAGGCTCTTATTTACAAAATCAATGATTAAAATTGTATAATTCGTCACCCGCAAGGGTTAATGTGCTTTATGTGCTTTATTAAACTCCATTAGCGACACACAAGACATACAAAATCAAGTATGTAGCTAATCTTCCTGGAGTTAAAATACAATAATACAAATACACCACATCAAAATTACAACATTATTTACATACAACATTAGACTTAACATTTAAAAGTAACATCACATGTGCCTATCATCATGTGCCTATGTACGCATGTGCTCTAACAACTCCTGCCTAAACCTACTCTTAGTTGCTGCTTGTACCTCATGTGGCAAAGTGTTCCAAACTGTTAAAGATCTATAAATGAAAGTCTTCTTCAGGGCGTTCGTTTTGGGTTTCATTAAACAGTATGTGTTTCGGCTAGCATGACGTGTGTTGTGGCTGTGGTGGTAGGAGACAGGACATAACTGTTAACATCATTTGGCGAAGGTATGAGATCGTGGAACTCTTGTTTTTGGAATTGTGCAGATGCCCTGTGTCTGCAGTTGTGTGCTCAGATCCGACTTGTTGTCCTCACACCTGTTCCTCAGGTGAGATACAAAGGGCTGACTTCTGTGAGATGGATGGAGTCCGACATCCCAGTGGCACGTCCTTCAAACTTGACGACTGCACAAGCTGCATTTGTGAGGTACCTCACTATCAATACACTTTGAATAAGACAACAAATCAAAGGTTTCACACCTCCTTGAAATATGATTGATTTTGTGACTTTCTTGTCTAATTTATTTTCTATTCATTATTCATCTCTGTTCGCATCTAAGAATTTGTCCACTGACCATCCTGGCCAGCTTTTGGGACCTTTCTGTGTTTAACCCTTTGTACTCACCATATGCCATCACTCAACTGTACAAACACACAAGCAAGCACACACCCAAAACAATTCCCCCATACCCAGATGTAATAATCTGTTAGGCAATCTGTGTTCTGAAGATTACTGTATCTGTATTGTGCCTATTGTTTTGTGCCATGATAAATCGTGTTATAAAGTAGTTAAACAGCTGGCATGTACACCGTAAAGTGCACTTCCATGTATGATGGAGATACTTTGTAGATTTGAGAAGAAACTGGTTTGATTGGGGCTAAACAAACCTCCTGTCCTGTACAGAGTGGTAACTCTACCTGCCTGACTGAGACCTGTGGCACTCTACTGTGTCCTTCTGACGAGAAGCTAAGGCTCCCAGGGGAATGCTGTCCAATATGTCGAGGTTTGGAGAATCATATGTGATTTATAAACTTTGATTATCATGCAGACAGAGATCTTCATGCATTTTTCCTTTCCTGTAAACTTTTGCATAATTAAAGGAGCAGTAGCTGGTGTTTTCCTACATTGTGTGTTTTGAAATGTTGTTATTTTGTTCAGGACTGGCCTGTATGTTTGAGAATGAGATGATTCCTTATGGAGAGACCTTCACACCAAAAGGAGACAACTGTTCTGTATGTGTCTGCAAGGTAGGTCATGGTACTTGACATAGATAATTTTAAAACTTAACAGGACATATTGAAAATTTCAATATGCAATATGTTGTAACCACAGATTGACCTTAGGGTCAAGTTGGCAGCCTAAATGGTGTCCCTACAGGCTGGGAGAAACAGACTATACCCACACAGTTATTGTCCTATACATGTACCAGCTAAGGTGTTGTCACAACAAACTCTCAGTCTGTGCTGTGCCAATAAATTCACAAAAACTCCAGGTACTTCCAGGATGTTTGAAATGTCGTTACCTGCTGTTATGTACTTGTTTTTAATATTATCACCTATCAGGGAGGAGACCTGCCTGAATGTGAGAGGATTGCTTGTCCCTTACTGAAGTGTAACATAGAGAACCAAGTGTTACAGCCAGGCTCATGCTGTGTGGAGTGCACAGGTAAGTGACAGAAAAAAACAATGGTGAACAGACTAAGAAATATTTTATAGGAATTTGAATTGTGTAGAAATGTAGGATTGGAGCTGCAGTTATAAGATTTAATTAGGAAATTTTTTATCCAATGTCAACTGTCAACCTCTGAAGTTCATACACTATGTTGTGGTTTTCAAGACATTTTCAAGAAGTCATGCCAGCTGCAGAACTGATGACATTCAGTACTGTTAGAATGTTTCAACAAGTACACAAGGACATACCGAATTCTGCTAAAAGTCTGCTGGTTACATAGTCATTGATAGATAAATTACCTATTAGAAAATAACACCCTTCTCCCAACTTCAGTGTTCCTGACTATTTCCCATGTTGCCCCCATTGTTCACAGTGGATGAGTGGTGTTACTACCGGGGAGATCGGTACCTGCTGGGTGAGAGGTGGACAGATGAGTGTAATGACTGTGTGTGTGTCGGAGGAGACTATCAGTGCACACCCAGGACATGCCCCCCTCTAGTCTGTAACCAGGGTGAAATGCCGTTCCCTGTCCCAGAGGCCTGTTGTGATGTCTGTGTGCCAGGTATGTGTCATGAGCCTGCTACACATCAGCACATTATGCCTATCAATGACTAAGTTGTGTTGCATTGTTAACAGTTGAGCTTGTTTTGTTCTATTGTATGAGTTAATGCAGACTTATAGCTGTACAAATTTGCTCACTTGACTTGTGTTTTTCTGTTGCCCAGATTCTGGAACCTGCATTGTGTTTGGTGATCCCCATTACCGAACATTCGATGGGCGCTTTCATGATTTCCAGGGCACCTGCACCTACATACTCTCAGAAGATGGCGTGGATAATACATTTCAAATCATAGTGCAGGTAATAACAAAGATGATGTCTCACAAAAGTAGGTCTTCTTACTATCTTAGATAATCACCTCGGAGTCCATGTACGGAGGTATATATTTTTTTAAAGTATCTGTCCAGAAATGTTTCTGGAAGTTTAGGTCTATGGTCCCAGAAGGTGTCAAGAGGTCTCTCATTTCTTGTCTTCAATTTTCTGCCTTTGTCTGATGCCTTGACTATTGGGCCCAGTGGGAAAATGCTGTTTAAGAGGACTGATATTTTGATTACCATTATTTCAGACTTGGAAATGTAGGGGCATTTTCCCCCAGGAAACTTTGAAGGAGGATACCTCCAGAAAGAATAAATGGAAATACTAGTAATGACAGCTCATGTCCGTAGCTAAAGTAGAGATGTAGAATCTGATATCAAATTATAGAAATTACAGCTTAGTTCTGCATAGTTAACAACGGAATTTTAGGATCCAGTGTTTTCCATCTTTAAATTTATTAGGAATTTGATACATCTGTATTAAGTAATGTAGAGTGGGCAGAACATTACTTGACATCAGTTAATATAAATTTCCTGGTATGCAAAATGTAACTGACTCTTTGGGAGCTTTAGGAAGTTCCCACGGGTTTCTTGACGGATGAAATAGAATGTACTGATCTGTTGCAAGATGAGGGTAGATTATTTGAAAAACTTATCACCCCATATTTGACTTGGGATATGCTGTACACCCTTTCAAATGCTTCCTTTTTGCAGGTCGATGTATTATGTACTCCCCTTAGACCATTTCCTATGTTGTGTATTGTTCTACAAGAAGTGCATGTTACTAACACAGAACTATCCAAGGCAAGAATTACACTTCCCAGACGTTTCCTTTATAAAAGCATAATTAAGAATATCTTTGTTTCATTGTATAATCTTAACTTATGCTTTGGATATGGAAAATGCTGTCTGGGATTCAATATTACATTTGGGCTACCCAGTGTGTGGTGACTATGTCACATGGGTCTGGTTCCTTGTGCTGTCACATGGGTCTGGTTCCTTGTGCTGTCACATGGGTCTGGTTCCTTGTGCTGTCACATGGGTCTGGTTCCTTGTGCTGTCACATGGGTCTGGTTCCTTGTGCTGTCACATGGGTCTGGTCCCTTGTGATGTCATAGTCCCACAAAGGTGCTTCATCTTCCACCAGCCCTTGATGTCTGACTAACATTTTCACCTCCTTTCCCTAGAATTGTAGACTTGTCTCATCTGGCTTGTTCTCTCCAGAATGCTCCTCGGAGGCAGTTGTATGTCCCTCTCCTGGGAGAATGCCCTGGGCAGGGCTCGAGTACCACGGTAGGGGTATGTATCCGAGTCCTGCTGCGACATCGCTTTGACAGGCAGTGACTTTAGCACAAGACAGGAGCGCGTTACTGTCTCCCTGCTTTCTCATGACATGTTCCCCCCTCCCATGCCTCAAAAGCCTGCTCAGCCTCTGCATTACAACACGTGATCTATGCAACATGTAACCCTGATCCCTGAAAATAACCCATGTGTAGAATATCCAGGGACATGAAGTCTTGTGAAGACAGTATATCAGACAGCGTGTATTTTTTTCCTTGCAGAATGATGGGAAGGGGACATATGCAGTGTCATGGACCCAGCTTGTATCCATTCACCTGGGCAGCAACACAATAGACTTGCTGCCAGGCCACAGTGTCTTTGTGAACAAGGAGATTGTGGAACTTCCTTATGCAGTGGAACCTGTCTTCAGTATCCAGAGAGCTGGTAAGGTCCCTGTCACATGCGTTGTAAGAGTGGAACTTGAGGGCATTGTTGGGATGGTCGTGCATTATCATACAAAGTTCAGCTGTCTTGTTACAGAAAAGGCTGCGTTGAGAAGGGCTCACAGTTTTGTTGTGTGATTGAATGATAATGCAGCCAACTTAGACCCGATTTACATGAAGGAAAGGATTTCACACACAAGTTTCTTTTCACACAGGCAGAAGGTGTCATCATGATGCTCATTAGAACTAAACTTTTTGACGTGGTATGACACTACAGGTCCTTTTTACATCTATTAGCTAAAAAGTTGTACATCTGTGTACATATGACTAGTCATTGTTTCTCCATGTAAATTAGGTTAGGAACATATACTGTTCATAAGGATGTCACCCTTGGAAGTAAGCTGTAACTGTTGTAATTGTATTATCTATATTAGTTGCACTGATTATGAATAGAGCATGGGGGCCCGATTCGTCCCCACGCTTTTGTCGTGGGGAAGTGACAGAGTGTTTAAGTTCCCCCTACACGTTGTCTGCAGGGGAGTATGTGGTGATGACTGCAGCCATCGGCATCAAGGTGTCCTGGGATGGAGAACACTTTGTGGAGGTGGAGGCTGCGGGGTCCTACAGGGGAAAGCTGCAGGGCCTGTGTGGGGACTTCAATGCCTATCCTGATGATGATTTGAGGTCTGTTTTATTGAAGGCAATAGATCAATTATTGATAATTATATAAAAGCAGAACATCTTGTCTCTCAGCAGTTCAGAAGTTCATTTTTATCATTCCATTATTGTGTTGTCATGCATGTACACTTGTTTGTACCTGTATTTGGTATTTCTGTAACTATACATACTGTAGATGTTGTCCTCAGTCTTCTGTTATAGTTCTGTATCGTCTATCTGTCCCTCAGGATGGCCAATGGGAATACTGCACTGACTGCCTCTGACTTTGGCAACAGCTGGGAGATTGGAGAGAGGCCAGACTGCTCATGTCGTTATGGGAAGGAGATCAAGCCTTGTGAAAGTGTCTCGTTAGTTGCACAGATGGAGGCTACAAGACAGTGTAGCATTCTCAAGGTCAGTAGCTTCCTCTCACCTAGATGTGTCTGTCAAGACTGTACCATGAATGTATGTCTGTACTTTTTTTTACCTGTGTATTATGCATGGCTGATGCTCTTTCTCTCTCTCTTTACAGAGTGAGATCTTCCAGCCTGCCCATCGAGTTATGGCCCCTGAGCCATTCTTCGATGCGTGCAGATATGACCTGTGCGCGTGTCCGGAGCAGGACCGCTGCTTGTGCGGCATCCTGTCAGCCTATGCTCACGAAGCCGCAAAACAGCAAGTTATCCTGGACTGGAGGACCAACAGTTTATGTGGTATGATGTTGTCATCTAATGTAAAATTATAGTTAGTTGTTGTAAAATGACCAAATCATTACCTATGGGTACATGTACGTATACATGTAGTTTTCAATGTGTTTGTGTGTGTGTGTGTGTGTGTGTGTGTTTGCTTGTGTGTCTGTAGGTATTTTAAAGCTGCAGTAGAGTGGCAGGGAGCGTAACCACAGATTAACAGGAAGGTCCATCCACACAATTACTGCAGGTCACTGGGGGTATCTACTTTGGTCACACCAACCTGATTTGATTGGTCCAGAGTGGCCTTCTTAGGGCAGTTTTGACTGTACTTTGAGATGTTTTCCTGGGGTAGACAATACTTGCTTCTTAGTGTTTCCTAGTACCATTCTGTCTCTTTTGTTGACTATTTGCAGGCATTTCATGCCCAGAAGGTTTCCAGTATGACGAGTGTGGCCCATCGTGTCCGCAGACGTGTGATAGTGTCTCCTCCAGCACAGATAAGTGTCTACAGGCCTGTGTTCCCGGGTGCTTCTGTGCTGCAGGAATGGTGCTACACAATCTCCGCTGTATTTCTCCTAGTGACTGTCCCACTACATGAGAGCTGGTAGACTTTCACATAGCTCTCTGCCTTTACAGTCTGTCTTATATTTCTTACAAATGGAAACAGCTGAACTACGGATATAAGATTTTAGATACAGTAAATTTTAGCTTCTATAGGTACATGTAGAGAAAGTCTTAATGCATTCTTACTTGACAGCGAGTTCACACCAAAAAAAGGGTTTTGAGACTTTGCATTGCTCACATTTTGCTGCCCTTGCAAAATATGTTACTATCATGGCTGAAAAGCATAAATGTGTTTTGGGTGCAAATTGATTTTGGGTCTGAACCTTACCTCCTGGTAAGTGGAGTTACTATGCCAAACACTATGGATTATTGTGAAAATCTCTGAGTCAGTACTAGGATTTTAATGTCAACTGCAAGCCCCGATTATACCCAAGGTTTGTCTCTTTTTTATTACATCAGTCGCTTTGTTGCAAATTTTCTAGCAATTGCATGCTTTTACCCAATGTGAGGTTGCCAAACTTTGCGCATTACTCTTGCCAGGCAACAAATATTTTTCCCTTACTTTGTTTTCTTTTACAAAATTTGGAGAGGTTGAAGAAAACAAACTCAGTGGTGCTAATGGGATCACATCCTTCCTTCCTGTACTCATCTTGTGTCAGAATTATTCCCTGGAAGAGACAGTTGCTAGACTCAAGTCCAGGCTATGCAGCCCTGAAATGAAACCTTAACTGAGATGTTATCAGGGCAGCATCTTATAGTCATTTGAGATCATTTGTTATGTTTTCCTGGTAAACAGTCATTACTTGTTGATTAAGTCTTGACTGAATCAATTCATACTCCATTTGGGTAGCAAGACAATTTTAATTCTAATTGTCACAAAAAGTTTTTATGTAGTTTCTGTGGTATATTTGACGTGTGGCCTGAGGAGTTTGTTGTGTAAAGTGATATAGAAATTTCCTTCTGTAACTTTCATATTTCATATTTCATATCTATAGCTTTTTTTATTTTAATTTTTGTATCAAAGTGTGCTGGAATGGTGACTGTAAGTTCATTTTTAGGGAGGGGGTAGATGATATTAGTAAGGTGAACTTGTAATATGTAAGCAGTGAGTCTCCAACAGACTCTAATGTATTCTTTTTTGTACAATGTATATTGACTTTGTAAGAATAAAAGGCCATTTCTTTATATAGACGTTTTCATAGAATGGCCACTAATGATATTTGTGAATCCCATTTTTACATCATATACCACGAGAATGCAAGTGACATATTTGTATCAGGAATTACAATTCAACAAACTCATAGATCAGGCACACTGCTGTGTGTGTGTGTGTATGTGTATGTGCATGTGCGTGTATGCATGTGTTTGTATGTGTTTCTGTTTGTATGTTCCGTTCATGTGCCATTTGACAATGTATGTATGACTGTGTCTGCATGCACGTGTGTGTGTCTGTGTGTACAGTTTCAGTTCAACAAACATGTGCCTCCCATTTGTATGTTGTCAGTACTTCAGCAAGCAACCGGTCCAGATGACCAATGCCTGAGAATGTGACAAACATGACTGCATTTGGTCAAAAGGTGTGTGAAAGTTTTGGCTGATGGTAACAGGAGACCATAACACAAGGCATACAAATGTATCATAAATCATACCCCAATTGATGTACATGATGCCAAACTACAGTATATGTCACTTTAACTGTTCTGTTCATGGTACCGTAGTTTATCAGTGTAATCAGAAGCCTTATCATGGAGTGATACTGTAGGAAGTTTTTTAAATATCCCCCAGATGACAAAGCCTTGGAGATACTTGGTGTTAAACTTTAAGGAATAAAATACCATGTGAAACTTTTAAAAAATTCTTTTTTGTCTTCTTTAGCTTCATAGGTTGTATCTTAATACTGAAGTTCTAGTGATATACTAGTCCCTTCACTACAAACTAATAATCAAATCTGTCCATGATGCCAAACACACCATCTACACACATATACAGGCACTAGGGTACAGTACAACCTATGCTCATACCTGGCCCTGAACACACCATCTACACAAACATACAGGACACTGGGGCTCAACACAATCTATACGCATACCTGTCCTTGGTGCTGAACACACCATCTATCCAGGCATTATAGAAATGCCTAGTTAGCAATTGCCTTTTCGTGTTGGTTTATATGATAACGAATGTTGTCTTTGCATCATACTGGTACATGGTTGTGAAATATGTGCTATACAAGTCATTAGACAATGAATTTGCATAACGATCGCTGACATGACGCTCATAAGAATGTCCAGTTGTGGGGAAGTGAAGTGAAATGACTGTCGTATCAAACGTCAGTATTCTCCCTGTCCCTGTTCTTTATAATGCCGTCTGGTACCGCGCGGGGGGAACTCGGATATATTTATGGCAGCTGCTGGCTATCACATCACTTTACAACATACAGTACCTTCACTTCCCGACAACTAGATATTTATATGAAGTTAGGTACTTAGTATGACTTCGGTGATCGTGGTTTCTGGCAATGAAGAATCCGCGGTGCTTTCATTTGCCGAGTACGCGTGGCAATATAAAATAGAGATGTGTTGAAGCGCGTTTACAGAGAAGCGATCAGTGACACATATATCATTCCGAGGGCACGCGCGGTTTAACAAGTCTTCTGAAAATATTACAGAATGTCGGTATCTTTTCGGACCAGACAACTTTAATCAATTTGCCGAGTATTGAGGGCAATCAAAGTTTAGAGACGTGTTCGGGAGCTTTGACAGACAACCCGCCGGATCCTTTTCATCATTTCCACTTTCCCCTCCCCGACGGTTAACAATGCAGCACTCAAACATAAAAACATACCGATGGCCGACTGTTCACACGTTCATTTAACTCAGACAAGTAGAGGGCATAGCATATAAGAAGTGGTCTCACTGCCAACTTCATTCATAGTGCGAAATCTTTCCATGCGTCATCATGTTGAAGTGGCTGAAAAAGGCGAGCCCGTCGTTGCAGCGTCCTACCAAGGAGGTTAAAAAAGAGCGAGAGCGGCCCAACTTTCCTGTTCCCAATACGTATGGACTGCCCAACCCCGAGGACACGGAGGATCCCGAGGCAACCGCAGCGGCAAACAGGGAGGTGGCGAAGGTGATTGCGGAGATGGCAGAGGCAAGAAGCCGGAAGAGGAAGCGCGGGAACTACGGTACTTACACCCCAGAACAGCGGGCAAAAATCGCCAAGATGTGCATCGAGGTCGGGCCTCAAAAGACGGCGGACCACATGTCAGCAGAAGTCGGTCGCCAACTCAACGAGAGCACCGTCCGGTCGATCAAGAACAGCTTCAAGAAAGAAGTGGAACGCCTCGGTACCTGCGACGTGGGAAAATTTCCACGAAGACGGACTGGACGCCCGCTCAAGCTCGAACGACAGTTGACAGTACATGTATGAACACATGCATACAGAACGCCGCTAGGTAGTGTCAGTTTGCCATCACCATTGTTAAACTTGATCATGACTAATTGCTGTGTACAAAACGTTTACCATTTCATGCAAAGCCAGTTACTTTGGGTACTTCCAGGTCATCATCATCAGATATAATCAATGCAAACGAGGACATTATATTTTTTATTATTTGTACATGTATAATCAATGACAAACCTTTATCAGTTTCCAAACTTCTTGTTCACATTCATCATTGACTCCACATTTGAAACAAGAAATCAACTTGCTGCGTGTTGTACAACAGAGGCATATCACATTTTCATTTTCTCAAAGATGAGTAAGCATTAAGTGGATTACCTTTTAATCTTGTAATGATCATGATCATGCGCAAGTCTTTGGGTTTTTTCTTTCTCCGGTTGAAATGTATATACTACAGTATAACCCACGGAACTCTTCTATGTTGACAGGTTACGGATGTGCCAAATAATGTGTCACGACTTCTGTAACAATCATCTCTAATAAAATCTAAGATGTTGGATTGGAGCTTCCAGGTCGTCAAATATTTGGCAGCCCGCTTAAAAATACAGTGAAATGTGAAAATTAAATTAAGAAATTTCTCATCACAATCACACTTGGCTTTTCTGTTACAAAATGTATAAGAACATCAAGAAGTACTTCTTTAATCAGACTCCAGATTTCAGTAAGACCGCGTTGAGTTCTACTGCGGACGGTTAGCGGGTCCTGCAGGAAAGATAAACTAGTTTAGAAGGAATATAGAATTATGTATTTTGACATAATTCACAGTTATAATGTCAGAAGTATACTAATGAGCATCTTTATTAGAATGATTCCAATCAATGATAGGCTTGCATGACGTACCTGGTTGGAGTGACTTGACAGATGAACTGAATAGAGTACATGTCACAGTTCAGGACTTCCCATTTGCCTTTCCGGCCTTTGGCCTTGGCGTAGGAAACGCAACCCCCACCATCCGGTTCTCCCGGAGCCCATGGGGTGAACGACGTCCCCAGAGCAGAACCATCCACCCACTCGAAACGGCCGTGTTGCTTGCGCAGGCCGATCCAGAAGCCATAATCGTCCACATTCGTGTACAAGTCGACAAGAAAAGCGTTGATCTCAGCGTCTCGGGGCATGGCGAGGGTGCCGCCGTCTTTACGACAGGTTGTGGCCGCTCCGTTGAAGTTTTTTGCTTTCTCGAAGACTTTGAAGCAGACTCCACTCTTCTTTGTGTAACCTCCGGGACAAAATGCTATAAGAAAGATTAACATCTTATACACAGAAAGACACTGGACGGTTATTCCTTTCGCTTTTGGGGAGGTTCAATTGTTTTCAACGATAAAAACCAAATTAAGAGCTTAGAGAGGTTTAAATGTCAAACATTATAAATGATTATTACACACTGCTATGGTGGAATATTTGTTTATTACACGTACGTTCAGCCGGTTCGGTAGAGCTTGGAGACGCTGACATGCCGGCTGGACCAGGCGGCCCGACGGCTCCCTTCGGTCCACGTGGTCCGGGTGGCCCGTCCTTTCCATCAGATCCAGCCGGCCCCCCGGACCCCTTTTCTCCCGGAGGTCCAGGAGGCCCGGCAGACACAGGACCAGCCGGCCCCATGGCTCCCTTTTCTCCGGGAGGTCCGGGAGGCCCGACAGACACAGGACCATGTGGTACCATTGGTCCCATTTTTCCTGGCGAAACGTTTACCACAAGACAAACGCCGTTACAAACGCTAACAAGAATCCGTAGGACACAGATCTCCGTGAAGTAATCACTGTGCTCGTGGATCCTCATAGATAATGTGAACGATGCCCTGATTTACATGGTTCATATCTAAAAGTGTTCATTTTTTCAACTTCACTTCCAAATGACATAAGAATTGAATTACCATCATTTACCAGTAAGGAATTATAGGGTTTTCTTATCAATTATGAAAATTATCTCATTTACATAATTACTGTCTATCCATATTCCCCTCTACATCAGTTACATATGTCACATGTTTGAGAGTCCAATCATGAAATGCAGTGGATGCATAAACTTTCGTCCATAATTATACAACAATCTATGTACACCACACCAAAATTATGACGATCCGTCAATTCCCTTTGGGGCCATTCTCTTTCAAACTCTGAAACAAAATCGGCCGCTGCTATACACAGACACCCAAAATGAAACATTTGCTTGGACATCAGGTATAAGCGTGACTAAGATCTGGAGGAATGTTCGACAGGCCAAACACAATTTGCTCTATTAACAGCTGTGTGGACTGTTCCACATCTCAAAAGTTGGAGTGTATCCTGGTGAAATATTGCACTTTACCTTTAAAAACTGCTACGGTGTAAAAAAAAAACACGAAAAGGCATGCCAAACTACACACCAATGCAACCAACGGATCGTATAGCTACGAACACATCGGCAATTTTTAGGCGGTCCGCCATGCCGCGACTACCATGATCGACACATCTGCTTGAGAAAACCGCACATCACGACGGAATACATGGCCTGTACCAACATTCCATCAGAATAGGGATTTTGCTAAAATATTACATGACATAAGAAAATAGCTACGGTATAAAAAGAACCGTGTGCATCAACTACACCACACTAGCAGACAACGTACCAAACTACGTCCCCATGCAGCAAAGGAATCGCGACTCACGGCTACGAACACACAACTGTTCAGGTTTCGTTGATTTTGATACTCCGACGGAGGTCATGGCCTCCTTCACGGAGTAACAAAGACATTAAGTTCTGGGCGAAGGTAATAATCCGTAAGTCATATATCCACCATAACAGCATCTACTAGCATCATCTTAGATACAGAAACATGGTATCTTTTTTATTCAAGTCATTGCAAACTACTTACGTCCCATCTCCTGTACACGTGCTTGCAGTCCCCCTACCTCAGCAGACAATTTTACCACTTCCGTGAAAATAGTGAATCTGACTGTAAAGAAATTAAAGCATCACGGTCGATTAGCTCTGCATAACACTATCACTTCAACAAAATGTTACAAGCAGTAAATTCATTATATGGCAAAACTGAAACTGACCCGCAAGATATGACGATATCACGGCCACGACCACGATGAATACAGGGCTTGAGATGCGCAACAACTTCACAAATCGGATGACGAACCTCGCCTTCTGTATGGCGGTTGCTTGTGGACATCAGACATGAAAGTCAGTTAAAGCACGCAATGTTTCAAGGTTGCTGCATTTTACAACGTATAATCATGGCCTTGATTTTTTCGTTTGAGCGAAAACCTCACGTTTTGTCCATTGCTATTTGTAGAAGACAAAAAGAGACCATTAAAAAATAACGCAGAACAACTTGTGCCTTTAAATTGAGTTGATAAATCCATTCTACATTT